GGATGGATGGATGGATGGATGGATGGATGGATGGATGGATGGATGGATGGATGGATGGATGGATGGATGGATGGATGGATGGATGGATCAACTCTTTGACAGATGGTCAACAAAACAGCTAAATGACGATCAAACATCAATAGCTGGAGGGAACTCTAGGATATTAGTTGCACCTAGAATTAGTCTCTCTTCATTTCGCAAGCTTTCCTTAGTTACCCAAGGCCAGATCTTGTCCTTTTATTTCCCAACTATGACATTTCCACAATCCTGCAAATGGTTTTAGGAAATTCATGTCTAATTTCTGAGAACTTTATTTCCAAATGCAACACAGAATTTACTTTCATTTGAAAAGTGAACTTTGGACCACTGAGCAACAGTCCAGTCATTTTTATCTTTATTCCAGGGAAGATGCTTCTGATGTTGGTTGTGGTTCAGAAGAGGCTTGACACAAGAAATGCCACAGTTGTAGCTCATGTCCTTCATCTGTCTCCATGTGGTGGCTCTAAAAGCACTCCATCCACCTCATAAACCACCCCAACATTTTGTGAATGAATGGAACATCCTGAGAGAATAGTCAAGTCATTGAAAACTACCTGAAAAATTGTATCAGTATTAAAGCTATGGCCCAAAAGTATTTCTGATGTTCCATTTTTGACTTTAGAAAAAAAAGCTTAAGGAAATTTTACAAGATCATGGCAGTTTCCCTTATTACAATTATTTTTTAATAACATGCAGGTACATATGTTTGGGCTGTTGGTTCTTTGGTCTTTCTGGGATATCTGCTAGAATTTTAAAGGTTTAAAGTCTTTTGAGCATGACTGCGTTGCTCCAGCTGCATAAGACTTTATGCGCAGTTGTAAATCTTCTTCATTTTCCTGTTGAGCTCCTACGCTGCATATCTGAGCCGGTGGTGATATAGCTCATCCATACTTGCATGATTTCATGAGGAGGTGTTTGAATCCCTAATTAGCCAGAGATGACAAAAGGTTTTGTTGTATCCCACTCGAGACATGCTGACAGTCTTAAAGGTTCTGCTGTGCAATAAAACACTGAGCCTTTCTGTCCAAATGAAGGGCTTATGGATTATGGCTTTGGTGACATTTATATGCTCTGTCTGAAGTCAAATAAGGAGGAAAAGACAGAAAAAGGCTTAGAATTATGGCTGCCAAGTGATGAGATGTTCTCGTTGTATGATTGACAGTAATTAAGGCTTCTTGAGATTGTTCTGGGAGGTATGTGCATTAAGGACGAAAAAAAAAGAAAACTCGATTGTTCTGATGAAACTTCCTCCAAAAGTTATGCTGCACATATAGTCAGTGTTTATGTGAGGAAATTGTTTGCTTCAAACATTTCAAGTTCTTGGTGAGCCTAACATGCATGTTTTTGATCTGTGGGAGGAAACCCACGCAAGCACGAGAAGAACATGCGAGCTCCACACAGAAAGACCCCAGGTCCAACCGGGGATTGAGCCCAGGACCTTCTTGCTGTGAGGCAACAGTAACCACTGAGCCATCGTGCTGCCTTACTCTCTCTAGTTATAACCCAAACCCTCTGCAGCTTCTTGTGCTTTGTGTTTATTCATATTTGTTTGTTGAATGATTGCAGTAAAATCTATTGCTGGAATGTTATCATCACTTTCTGAGTCCTTTACAGAAATATTGAGGATGCATTTGTGTAGTTTTCAGGCCTCACCTGCAGAATCGAGCTGTCCTTTAAGGATTTGCAAGCAGAGGCCTATTTGCATAGTTTGGTATTCATTTGCATATTTTTACTTCCTATATTTGGTTGTAAGCAATCCCAGCATTTATGTCTTTTTTATCTATTTCTGCTTAATATGTATCCTGAAATTACATGCAGACTTTTCATCAGAACCTCATTTTGTTTTCCATCACACAATAATGGGAGCATCTTTGATTTCAGCTGCCAAAAACAACAAAATCACGTACGTAAACAGCCGCACGGTCGTTAAAGTAATTTTCTTGGTTCTGGGTTTCTTCTGCCTAAAACTAAAATGGTATAGTAACGTTCTTTTTCTTTCTAAAACTGATAAAACGCTCAATCCTATCAAAACAGCATCAAACAACCGAATGTGTTTCCTTGATTTGATTTGCCAGGTCCGTCTTTCAGTCACCACCTGAAAGATACGATTGACTTTTAATACAGCCGTCATCCTCCACATAGGAACGTAATGCCTGGGATTCATCACCTTTAGACCTCGAGCAATAACACTGCCATCATTAACGTCACATAAAAGCCACATATTCCCCCGTGCTTCCTCCAGGAGCTCCAATGTGTTGATTCTCTCAACACACAATGGAGGTAAATGAGGATTTATGTCAGCACAGCTGCCACGCAATTACTCTGGAGATGTGTCTGCTGCCGGAGGAAGAGAGGCATGATGGGACGTTATCACATTTTTGGAATGGAAGGTGATACATTTAAATGGGACAGAAGGAAATAAATGTAGGAAATAAAAAATAAAAAACATTAAGCAGCGTTTACGTCAAACTTTTTTGTGGTTCACAGATGCATTTAAAAAAAAAAGAACAGTTTAAAGAAGTTTAAGCAAATTTATCTCATCTTTTTTTACTCAAGTTTCAAATAAATATTATAACTTTATATTATTTATTACAGAATTTCATACATTGTGATTCAAACACAAATTAATTTTGTTTTAATGTATCTTTTTCCATTACCTGATAGGATTTATTTTATTATATTCATAAACTTTTGGAAAATATTTTACAAAGTCTGGCCTGGAATTGACAGATATACTTTATAACTTTTTATTTTCATACTTTTCTCACCAGAATTTATATAATTTATAGTGTCTTTAAGTGCTTACAAGTATAGTGACTTTTATTTATTGACATAAATACATAAACGGTATTATTAGTGTTATTGTCGCTTCCATTAGAATAATCAATGCTGTATCTAAATAATATTTCTAAACTATGTTTGATAAAACTGTGTGGTGGTTTATGGTTTCCATACAAAAACATGATAAAAACAAAAAAACATATATATATATACTGTCCTTTTTAGATACACTTTGGATAAAATAAACTTGGGTTTATCTAAAAACTATCAAATGGAATTGAAATTTTATATGATTAATAAAAACACCCAAAACGCAAACAACAGTCAAAAGAATAGTTTTGTTTTATTCCTAACATTTTTTCACATCCACATAATTAATGTAAAATGCTTAAATTGACAATCTTTTTTTTAGGAAGGGCAATGTTTGTACAGTAGTATAAATTCAGTAAACTCTGGTTGTATTGACACTCTTTTATATGACTTTAAACATCACTGGTTAAAGTGATAACATTTATATATAATGTATGAAAATCCATTAGATTATGGATATTATGAGGGTGTTTGTTTCTGAGATATCTATTTATAGTGTTTTGTAGATGACTTGGCACTTTGCTGTTTCTCTAAATAGAATCTCCTGATAAAAAAAAAAGGACAGCTTTTCACCAAATGCTAATATTTTATTTGTTTGTCGTCGCTGCAGGAAGTCAGAAGCAGGAGACGAGGCTGGGCGGAGGAGCCAACAGACACTGCTTTAACAACCTGAAGCCCAACACGGAGTATAAGATCAGTCTGTACGCTCAGCTACAGGACGGGACTGAAGGTCCTGCAGTCACTGCATCGGTGAAAACACGTAAGGACACTCGAACAAACTCACACCCGACCGCTCAAACAAAACCATTTTTAAAGTTGAAAATTGTTTTGCTTTGTCCACCTCCAAGAACCTAAGTCAACGGCTACTTTTAAACCTGTTTAAACTCATGAAGTCTTGAAACAGTCTTCCTAACGTGCATTCACATTTTCTATCCTCCACTATTCACTATAAAGTGATCAAGTGCGTTACAAAAATATAAGTTACACAAAGAAACGCCCTACCCTGTTCATAGTTTAAACAGTCATGTATGCTGAAGTCCTAATCAGTATTGACTGCAGTGGTGTTTCTTTGCAGAGAAGTAACGATTTCAGACAAACAAAGCATTTCATTGAGGACGACAAAGATAATGTTACCAACACTGATATGTATTTACCGCTAAGTTAGATTTATTGTTCTGAATAAAGTTTTACAAGGCAATAGCCAGTGCTTAATTTGAGCCAGATCCTGCTGGAACAAGATCCGGGAACTCTCTCATTTTGACTGGGTGCGTTCCGGCAACTGTTTGCTTGGATCCGGCAACTCAAATCTCCTCCCCTAAAAGTCCAAAGTCATTGCACATTTTTGTTTTGATTATTTATTAAAAATACAAAGAGAGGAGACATTGCCCAGTCTGTGGAGTGGATATTACGGCTACAGCAGGCGCACCAGCTCGCGCACACGCTCCTGCCCATAGGCATAAATACGTAGATGCCTTGTTGAGCAGGCTGGTCCACTACAGTGGTACGTCGGAGCGCTTTTATTTTAAATGTGGCGGAACTGCCTGGCAACTAATAGAAGGAAATGGACTGAACTTCACAAATTTATGTATATGCTCCTACCCAGCAGAGACACAGACGACATGTCCCACGGAAATTAAGTGTCTTCATCCAGATGGCAAGCCAAGTGGCCCATTAATAGCCAGACTTGTTGTAAAAGTGGCTATTAATGGGCCACTTGGCTTGCCACATAGATGAAGACCCCTCCTCTTCCCCCCCGCCAGCCTGCGACCCCGCCCCCATGCTGGACCGCCCACTATTTGCATTCTGGCATCAATCAGTTTACAAATTAAGCCCTGGCAATAGCCTATGCTAGGTTATCCAAATGTTAGCTTGCTAACTTGAAAGGCACGTAGCTAATATCAGGTTGGAGGATTGAAAATAATTTATTATTGTTGATTTTTAATTTTATTTTACAGATAAGTTACAATAGGCTTACCACGCTCTGTTCAGCAACACACAATACACAGTATTTAGTTGCTCCCTGCTTCGGCCGTGCTGAAAGTGAAACTTAAGTTAACGGCCATAACTTGAAAGTAGTCCACATGCGCCTTTTGCTGGATACATTGTACATGCGTGCCTTTGCCAGAAGGACACGGCTTGTTCCCAGTATTTATATTGGCGCATAATGGGTCAATTATCACCAATACCGATAAATATCGGCCTTACCAATATATTGGTCAGGCTCTAAACATAAATGCTTGTTGGACATTTTTAATCAGTTTAATGATTTAAGTTCTCCACACACACACCTACTTCATCATATTTTTATTATATTAAACAGCAATCTAAATATTCACATAAATGTGGGATAGCAGTATAAGAGAAACACATTCAACAAACTTACATTCAAACTGCTGTCTGCTCTCGTTTAAAAAAGAACCTCGAGACAAGCCTAAAGGATGATCACGTCATTTTCACTATAAAATGTCTTTTTATCCTTGTGGGAGCCGTGAGAACTGAGCCGTCATCCTTCCTTCCTCTGAATGAGCCTTTTGTTCTGCAGCAGCAGCTCCGAACACTAATCAAGAGCTACTGTTTGGAGGAGAGGCAGGAGAAGGAGGATGCTTGGGATGCTTTTGTTTATTCTTCACGAATGTCATAAACAGTAAATATACTTATTTATCAGTACTCAACCAGTTATGCCAAAGAAGAAGCACAAAGTCAAAGATTTATCCAGTTATTTCTAATTATGAGGCAAGTTTTCACTCTATGGTATTACATTTGAAACAAAAAGGAGAAATTCAGGTTTTAATGAACAACTTTAACATTATTTCTCACATTTCATAATATTTTATTTCTAGCTTTCTTCTCCGTGCAGCCATGTTTGAAGTGTCAAACTACTTCAAGTTGAAGGGTTTTCAGAGAATTATTCACATATGAGTTAGCTAATTATGTGAATGTTTATGAAGCATTCACACTGTTGTGATCCGTTTTTCTTCTGTACGTTTTTCAGCATCTTTCTCGTTCCACATTTTTTGTGCTATTTCAACAAATCACAAATCAAAACGTTCGGCTCTTCTAGGACAATCCTGCTGTGACTTTTGGTATTGGTGCAACTTTAGCTTTTTTTAAATATTTAGCCTTTTCTGTCATTTTTTTTTTCCTCATGGAAAATGAATTGAGCTAACTCGATCTGTTTACAACCTTTTACTGCTCCTTTCATATTTTGTTCTGGTTCAGCTTCTTTCGGCTTCCTTGTGCAAATGTAAACTTTTTTCAGCTACTTTCAGTAATTTCAGCTGTTTTGTGCTCCTTTCATATTCTTTCTGCTAACTACAACATTTTTGAGCTTCTTCTAACGCTCCTTTCAGCCTATTTATGCGTTTCAGTTTTTTCTGCTAGTTCAACTACTCTTTAGCTGTTTTTATTATAATTTTAGTTTTTTTCAGCTAATTCCATATATTTTGCATTCGTTTGACCTTTTTCAGCGTAAGTCAACCAGAATGTGCTCTTTCCACTTCCTTCTTGTAATGTAAGCTTCTTTCTATTTTTTTAAGCTAATTTTTCAGCTATTTTTTTGCTAATTTCAGCTTTTTCCAGATAATTTCTTCTTTTTTTTATTGCTGCTTTTTTCTGCTGAATTGTGCAAAATTCTGCTCTCTCTCTGCTTACTTCTGGTAATTTAAACTTGTTCTACATTTTCAGCTAACTTTTTTTAAGCATGTTTAGCTAATTTCAGCTGTTTTCAGATACATGCAAGTTTTTTAGTGGTATGTTCTGCTACTTTCAGCCTAAATAACGTCTTTCTGCTAATTTAAGCTGCTCCTTGCAACTTATTTCTGCTAGTTTCAGCTTTTTCTGCTGTTTCAGCCACTATTTAGCTGTTCTGTGCTAAATTCAGCTTTTTCAGCTAATTCCACATTTTTAGCTCATTTCAGCTCTTTCCACTTTCTTCTGGTAGCTTAAGCTTCTGTCTGTCTTTTCAGCCTTTTTTTTCTAATTTCTGCTTTTTTAATTAATTTCCCAACTTTGTTTGCTTTTTTAATTTATTTAAACATAATTCAGCAAATATGTGTTCTTTCTTCTTTATTTTTCCTGCTTAGCCTTTTTCTTCCTTTTCACTTACATTTCAGCATGTTTTTATCAGCTAATTTCAGCTGTTTATTTTTCAACAAGTTCTTCACCAATAAGCCTTCACATGACATGTTCATGTAAATACAGTTTCTCCATAGTTTGTCTTAAAAAAATCCCTTTCTTTGTTCACTTTTATCTGTTCTGGAGCCTGTTTTAAATCTGGCACAAGTGATTAAATGCTCACATACTGACAATGCAATGCACATCTAAGGGTGATGCGTTATTTAGGCAGACCCCGAGCAACGTTTAGCGTGTTAAAATTCATGACGTGGCACCAAAAATATGAAAAATATTGGAAATATTAAAGTAAAAGTAAGAGAGAAATGAATTTGTTTGTTGGAGACAGGAGGCTGCAGAGCTGAAATGACAGAACAATCCAGAGACAAAAGAAATAAAGAAATGATGTTCCTTCCCAAGAAGCAGGTATTTGTTTGCTCCGGGCTGCTCCCGGCCAGACTGTAGCTCTACAGAGAGCCTCCGAGATGATTTATGTCTTTGTTTTGATGCAAATGAAAGCCGGAGCGTTTCCTCTAAATGACTCCCCCCATGGCTGCAGGCGGCCGCCGCTGAGCGCTCCCTACCTGCCATCACGAGCGGTTCCCAGCCTGAGGTGGCTGATTTACTGCCTAAACAGCTCTGAACGTAGGAGATGTGTGTTACGTTGTGTCGCTTTTAGAGAAGTGGGCAACAAACCGCATAAACACACACGTGCACACGTGCACACGTGCACACGCTGAATCCAGTCAAGTGGCTGAAAGCAGACGTTTGGTTCTGACGGCGATCAATCTGCCAAATTACACAGGAGCTGAAACCTCGTGGCTGCGTGGAGTCATTCACACATTCTGTCAGAATGCATGTGTCTGTGGGGGCTCTGTTTGTGGCCCGCCCCCCCACTATGTGTGATTTTTTTTTATTTTTTTGGGAGGGGACATTTATTTCAAGGCTCTTTCGGCACGATGCTTTATGATGAACGTGCTCATAATTGCAGGTTTTTATGTGTCTCATTTGTTTCTCTTCACACAGAACCGGCCCCCACACCGGCACCAGTCAAACCCCCCACCACCACGCCGCTACCCACAATCCCCGCCGCCAAGGAAGGTCAGAGCACTGTGTCATTGTGGCCTTCTTATTGACTATTGATGATTTATTGATGAATGAATTAAGCTGTTCAGTCTGTGCAGACTTACTTTATGTGGATCCTTCGTTTTACAAAGTTTGACTCGTGTTTTCACAAATTAAACTTCATTTCAAGTCACTGGTTTAAACTGAAAGAGCAGCTTTGGTCCAACTGGTTGATACAACCTAACATTTAATTCATCTTTTTTTTATTGTTGTTGCATATTCAGGTAAAATATCTTCCATCCTTTTCACAAAAAAAGTTGAACATGTGCACAGTTTGTCCCTAATGTGTACTTATAATGATTTGTTTCTGTTGAAAATGAAATTTATTACTTCTATATTTCTTATATTTTATATTCTTATATGTATTTATATATTTTCTATAGTTGTATATAATATTTTGTTCAAGTGCCTTCACTTCAGTTCAAACCTTGATTGTCCTGGAGGTGGAAAATTGGGTTTACAGCTATTTTTAAACAGATAAATGAAAACCAGACGTAAGGTACTGGCAACACTCTGACCATGTACAGTATAATTACAAATGTGTGTGTTAAAATAAAATCACTGGAGTAATATTGGAATAGAATTAAAATTTAAACAAAGATACAGTGTTATTGAAAGTGCCAGAGATATTTTGGTGGCATAAAAAAATGCATTTTTTTTTTTTGCATTTAAAACAAATAAAACTTTAGATACTGTATTTTGCCGTTTGCCTTCAACAGCCTGTACTTATGATAGAATAGACTAATAGATTCTTATACAACGAGACCAATACTGACTAAAACTAACCTAACATTTATTTTATTTGTTTCAAATTCCTGAAAGAACAGCTGATCTATGCCCAGTGCCTTACTGGTTGTGTTCATGGTAAAGGATAAAGGTTGTTATACTACTAGACAAGGCAAAAGGTTAAAACAGATTCAATGAATGGTTTCAAAATTTAAATATTATTTGGTCTACATTAAAAGTTACAAGTCTTCACAACATCTGAATCAGTGTAAGTGTCACGATCCTCAGTGTCGGAACCCAAATGCAGAGAGGCGAGCGAGGCAGGAGTTCAAAAACAAAAACAATTTATTTCTTTTAACAACAAAACAAAAGGCTGTCGGTGCAGCAAAACTTACTTGGGCAGATAGGATCAGAAACCAGGCAGAGCAGATAATCAGGTGGACAAGAAACAAGACAGAAGAGGACTGAGATGTCTGTAAACACAGAACAATCACCGGACAAGGAGTGAAGGAGAGAAAGGCTTTTTATATAACAGAGGGAGAGTGAGTAATGAGAGCACCTGGGCAGGTGGCTGATGAGGAACAGGTGTGAATGATAAAGACTGAGTGGAGAGGCAGACTGAGGAGTGAGTGGAAAATAACAGAATCAGATAAACAGAAAACACACAAGGAGCAGAGGCTTAGGCAGATGGGGGGGCAGCGGGGGCCGCTGACCGTGACAGTAAGAGATTAAATCTATTCAATTATATTGCATTAATGTGAAGGTTCTTATACAATCACATGACCAGGATATATATACTCTGCTGGTTCCCAGTGCAGGTTGGACTCCACCACCAGTTCCATGTCTCCGATCCTGTTTGTGGTGATCATGGACAGGATCTCGAGGCGCAGTCCTTGAGAGGAGGGTGTCTGGTTTGGGAACTTCAGGGTCTCATCTCTGCTTTACGTGGAGGATTTGGTTCTGTTGGCACCTTTAGGCCAAGACCTTCAGCGTGCACTGGGACGACTGGCAGCCAGATGTTCAGTGGCTGGAACAGAGTCAGTTCCTCTAAGTCTGAAGTCTTGGTTCTTGACTGGAACCAGGTGGAATTACCCCTCTGGATTTGGGGGGTGGTTAGGTATCTGGGCGTGTTTATGAGTAATGGTAGGATGGAGTGAGAGATGGATTGATGGAATGGGGCCTCATCCTCAGTAAGGAGGATGTTGCTTCGGTCTGCTCTGGTGAAAAAGGAGCTGAGTCGAAAGGCAAAGCTCTCGATTTACTGACCTGTCCATGCTCCGACCCTCATGAGGTTTGGATCATGAACGAAAGAACGAGAACCCAGATACAAGCTGCCAAAATGGGGTTTAATCACAGGGTGGCCGGGCTCAGCCTTGAAGATACGTAGGTGAGAAGCTCCTTCATCTGGGGGGGAGAGCTCTGAGTAGAGCCGCTGCTTCTTGTCATCAAAAGGAGTCGGTTGAGGTGGTTCGGGTATCTGACGGGGACGCCTCCTGGATGCCGCAGATAAGCAGTAGAAGATGGAGAGATGGTTTAAAAAATATGAATCTGGACGTTAAGGGTTCGGGTTGTAGAGGCGATTGTGAGTGAAGTTTATTTAAAAGTCGGGTTTGGTTAGAATTTGTTTTTGAAAGTTGCACAGGTTTACCCTTAAATCATGACGCAAGAACATTTCCATCCTAATTTGACTGGATTTTTATCTCAGACAAGAACTCTGAAGACTTCCTGCTGTTGAACTGACATCTTGTTGAGTTGTTCTTTCTTCAACATTTCATCATATAATATCTGCTCCCTTAGCTTTTGTCATTTTGTCTTCATTAGTCAGAGTCTACAAAACGACAGATGAAGATACCAAGTTAAAGAAGGAGCATCATTGTTGACCCACTTAACAAACCCACAGAAAACCTCCCTGAACCTGAAGTGCTTGGATTCATTTTCACAAAAGAGAGATTCTGTCCAGGGGGAGTCCAAGCACAACTGGACCCGACCCGGATAAGCTAAAGCTTAATAAGTTCCCATTTAAAATGCATGGACCTGAGCAGACTCTAACAGAGAGAACACAAACATCGACAGCTGCGTGACTTATCAGGGAATTGAATCGGCGAACATGCTGCTGTGGGAAAGAGCAGCGATTTATTAATTATTAAGGGAACAATTTATTGTGTGTTTCTTTCATCCTGCCACTTATTAAACACATTTAAACTCGGACTTAAGACATCCAGGAGTAAAGTGGAACGTGGCCGGATAATCTGAGAAGATAATTTAGTCTCATTAAAATAAGATATAAGGTCATTTAAACCATGATCTTCTCTCTATGGCCTCAGAGAAAAGAAAAGTCAATTAGATAGTAAATAAAAAAATCTGCAAATTGGACTTGACCTGCTTTTGAATTCATAAAATAAACTTTTACACGTTGGGCTTTGATTAATTATATAGCACCTTTAAGGTCATTTTAAAGGTCAGTTCAAACCTATTAAATCTTTTTTTTTGTTCCAGTCAGACAAGAGACTTCTGGTCTCCGTGGATTTGGATTTTACTCCATTTTTATGTCTTTTGTCCCCAACAATTAAAAAAAAAAACGTGTTTTTGGTACTCATGGTATTAGTAATTATTAAAAATAATTAATACTGATCAACGCTTCCTGGAATCACAGCTTAATAAATCTTTTGATAGATATGGTCATTAAAAAAATGTCTGTGTTTTGCTCACAAATAGCTTCGTAAATGAAACGACTACAAATATTAGCTGTGAATTTATTTTTGTTCTACTTTTGTCTATCCAGTTTGTAAGGCAGCCAAAGCAGACCTGGTCTTCCTGGTTGATGGTTCCTGGAGTATCGGTGATGAAAACTTCCTGAAGATCATCCGTTTCCTGTACAGCACCGTCGGAGCGCTGGACCGAATCGGCCCGGATGGCACTCAGGTAACTGGAAAAATGTTGTGCCACTAAATGTATCTTTCAAATTAATCAGTCATTGACTGAACCATTCCTCCTTTTCCACAAATATATTTATCATCTAAATGAAGTGATAAATATCTAAATACAGTCCCTCACTTATTGCGGGGTTTACGTTCCAGACGCCCCCGCAATAGGTGAAAATCTGTGAAGTAGGAACGTTATATTTATTTTAGTATTAATATTTATATTAATGCTTTATAAACCCTTCCCACAATCTTTCAATGTTGTTATCAATGTTCTAAATGCTCTAAAAGAGCACAGCTAAAGAGAGCAGACAGACTGATGCTAATTACTGAGCCAATCAGCGCCCGGCTCGTGGGCGGACTGGTCACCGGGACATTTTCCAGCTCGGTTCAGTTCTGGTCGACTTGGTTTGGGTTAAAGCTCAGTTCGGGTCGCACTCGTGTGTGTGTTGTTTGCTTTTATTTTTTGGGTTTATTGTTTATAATTCTGTACTGCACTTTGAGCCGCTTTTAGTATGAAGGGTGCTTTATAAATAAAATTGATTGATTGACTTGATTATTTTAAATTTTAAACTTTGTCTGAGGCACATAAGTATTTTATTTACCAGCTTGTCATGTACTGCAGTGGCAGGAGAAAGATTAATTATTAAGTCATTAACGTTTTGTTTCCCCGTTAACGACTGCATTTTAGCCAATCAACAGCTTGTCGAATGTATTTAATTATTATAATCCAAAGTACAAAGAATGAAGTGTGTTTGAGAAAACATGTTCATAATAAAACAATCACAATAATTTTAATTGCACAATATTTCAATAAGATTAAAGTACATAAATGGGCAACTAGAACACACTGAAATATAAAATGAAATAAGATTTTGTATTTTAACAGGTAAACAAATCAGTTGTACCACTGATTTAAATATAATTTCATCAACTTCTATTTTAGGATGTATGATTTTTAAATGGTTTTAACTCGTAGTAGAGTTACAAGGCTTTTAAATTTGTTTAATAAAAACATAAATGCATTAAAAAAACCATGTCCTGATTTGACAGGTGGCCATAGCCCAGTTCAGTGACGACGCCCGGACGGAGTTCAAGCTGAACTCATACAGCAACAAGGAGCGCCTGCTGGAAGCCATCAACAAGATCTCCTACAAGGGAGGAAACACGAAGACAGGTTGGTGCTGCACGCACGCAGCAGGTCGGCTGCTGAGACACAACATGTGCTGTGATGTACGCACAAAAACAAACGTGTACAACTGCTGCGGCTGCGGCAGAAACAACCCCGACGGTTTATATCTAACATCTTTAAAATAGCTCGTGTTTCACAAATGCACTGCCAGGTGTTGACGCAGTTTCACTCATGGCATCGTGAATATATCAGACGTTTCCCCACCTTTGTGTTTGTGTTTTAATGCATGCATTAAATCTTTACAGTAGGAGCACAGAGGTGTATATACCGGTGATAAAAAACACAAGTCTGCAGAGAAGCGACTGGGATTATCCTCATTGATCAGTGTTTACAAAGCAGCGCAGCCAGTTTATCCCACAGAAACGAGATTACAGAGAACACGTTTGTTACAGAGTCACTTCTGGGGAGAGATTCTCCCTCTGCCGGGGTCACAATGTAAAGCACCGAGCTTGGATTTGATCAGGAAGCAACAGCTCGGGGAGTTATCGCGCTCTCGGTGTGTGCACTGCAGTGGAGGGTCCGTTTCCAGGCGCTCCCAAAGGTCAGAGGGACATTTGATGAGTGGATTTGTTTGACATGGCGGTGCCGTCTCATTCTGTTGTTAAAATATTGACCATGATGACATCGTCACCTCTCTGTTGACAGTGAATGTATTAGATTTTGACCGAGGCTGAATTTTAGATTTAAAGATTATTTTTGTGTCACAGAAAACCGCTCATCACCCCACAAATGACTGCCTTACTAAACAAAAAACAATATATTAAGCTATGGTTGAATTATTACTTAAATTAGTTGAATAAGTATCAGTTTTAAATAATTTTATACTTTATCACAAGTCAGAAAGTGCAGTGCTATAAAGTGGTTATGTCGTGGAAAAAAGAGATTCCCTAAACAACCAGGCGTAGGTTTCTTCGTATTTATTACAAAGCTTTGGAGAACAGCCAGCACTCACAGATCACTGCATTTACAAGTTCACACTTATCAGTGCTTTCACCTGCCTGAGGCTCTGACCTGTTCTGACTTCATGAACAGAAAAAAAAAACTGTTTTGTAGAACTTCCAGCTGCCCAGCCCCTCCTCCGGTCCAGAACCCAGCTGCAGTCAGAAGCAGGAGGAATCTGGGAGCCAGCATCTCTCAAGAACTCTCCCAAGTTACGTCACTGTAATCATATCAATCAGACCTGGAGGATAATAAAAACTATCTCGATGTCCCTTCACTGACCGGTCACATTATTACACAGAGCAGGGGTGCCCGCACTTTTTCAGCATGCGAGCTACTTTTAAAATTACCAAGTCAAAATGATCTGTCTACTATTACACGAGAACAACCAAGAATTGTTAGTGGGTTTTTTTTCAATGTTTATTGAGGGTAACCAAAATAATCCATGCTCAATAATCCAGGTATACAATCCAACATTTTTCAGTCAGGTCATCTGGACAGTTTCTTTTTTTGCTGAAACGTTTCACCTTCCATCCGGAAGGCTTCATCAGTCAAGGAAACACACAACACAAAACTGATTCTTCCCCCAAACAGCTTACTCCAAAGTGGAACAAGCCAGTTATGTTGGTGCTAAAATAGTCTCTTTGGCACGCCCCCTCCTCTTGTGCCGGCCCTCTTCCTCGTCGACAGTCATGTCAAACTGGTTCAAAACCAAAATAGTCCATACTCAATAATCCAGGTATACAATCCAACAAGTTTTAGTCAGGTCATCTGGACAGTTTCTTTATTTATTTATTTTCACACCATCTTAGCACCAACATAACTGGTTTGTTCCACTTTGGAGTAAGCTGTTTGGGGGAAGAATCACTTCCAGGAATACAATCCAACAATTTTCAGTCAGGTCATCTGGACAGTTTCTTTTTTTTTTTCTGAAACGTTTCACCTTCCTACCTAACGAGGAAGAGGGCTGGCACCAGAGGAGGGGGCGTGCCAAAGAGACCATCTTAGCACTAACATAACTGGTTTGTTCCACTTTGGAGTAAGCTGTTTGGGGGAAGAATCAGTTTTGTGTTGTGTGTTTCCTTGACGGATTGAAACGTTTCAGAAAAAAAAAATGAAACTGTCCAGATGACTGACTGAAAATTCTTGGGTTTATTGGGAGTAATTAAAAAAAAAAGCGGGTTTACATGAAAAATGCGGTAGTTTCCATGTCAGTCGGGTTGCCAGATAAGAAGTCATGAACTATAGTACTGTGGCTTTAAAATGATAGTATTTTTACCTGAACTGTCATGTGTGCTGAGTAAAGATATTCTAAGATGAGGTGTGTGTTGTGTTTGTTGAACATGTGCACAGAAAAGGAGGGGGTAAATAAGACATTTTAAATTTATCTGGCAACCCTCATCGTGCATGCAGCATCTACACGATCACAGTTACTTTGTACATAGAGTAAGGATCATGGAACATTTTAATATCAGTCACTAATAACAGTAAAAGAGCAGTGAAAATTATGGATTATGAAGAGTGCAAATACACATTCCCTTGACATTTATCTCTGTTTTTTATATCAAAGTGATCATAATGGTTAAATACAACCATGTCATATAGAGACAGTTTGTTTTAGGTACATTTCAGGTGTCTTCTGTCTTCATCCGACCGTCAAGCGCAGTGTTTTTGTGCTTCTGTTAGATTAAAACTGGCCCCTTGACTCCTGAACAAACTCTTCTGTCTGCTCCTGACAGCTTGGATGAAAGGACAGAAGATTCCCCGCTGAGCCACTTTGATGCAGCTCCTTTAAACTTTTATTTACATCAAGGTGTCGGGCATCATCGCCTGTCAACATCCTAAATGCTTCAGTCTTTAAGTCAAATTATCCCGAAGAAAACCTGCAATGAAGCTGCTAATGACAGCTTTATTCTTTACGTGAACCTCTGCAGCGGCTCATATTATGTTCTACGTTACGGTTTCCTGTAAAGAAAATCAAAAGATGCTGCAAAAAAAAAAAAAATCAAATATCCTGAGACGTAGCAATTTAACCGGCGCCAAATTAAAATCCTTAACCCCTCGGGGCAACATTGGCAGGTGGGGAAGGTTCACGCTCGTGTTTGTTTCCTGCCATCCATTATTTGCAAACCTCTGTTTGCCAAATAATGCATTTAAATGTATGATGCAGATGTTACTGCCTGATTTCATTTAGCAAATTCTTCAAGAATTCAAAAAGTGTCCACCTGATAAACCAGTGTCTTTGTACTTCTACAGACAATTGTCCTGTTTACCATTTAAACCGTAGCCTTGAGTTAAAGGCTATAATATAAACAGGACTTTTTTTTTCCAATCACTTCATATTAATTGATGGTTTCTTGTGTCCAATCAGGTCGAGCCATTCAGCACGTGAAGGAAAACATCTTCACAGCCGAGGGGGGTGTCAGGAGGGGGATCCCCAACGTCCTCGTGGTTCTTACCGACGGTCGCTCCCAAGACGACGTGAATAAAGTTTCCAAAGAGCTGCAGATGGAAGGTCAGGTTTTTATCTGTTTTGAATTTAGAAAATCGTCTTTAGATTTTTATTTCACCTGAAAGTGTTTTCAGGTTTTAAACATCTGTATTCGACACCAACAGATCAAAAGCCAAGAAGACACCGAAGTGTTTTTTTGCGTGACTGTTCTTTCTGTATGTTCCTGTGAAGGTTACATCGTGTTTGCCATCGGTTTTGCCGACGCCGACTACGGCGAGCTGGTGAGCATCGCCAGCAAACCCAGCGACAGACACGTCTTCTTCGTGGACGACCTGGACGCCTTCCAGAGGATCGAAGAGAAGCTGGTGACCTTCGTGTGTGAGGCTGCGACCGCCAGTGAGTGACTGTCAAAAAAAAGCTGCGTGAAACAACCGGAGACGTAAAACGTTACGTGACTTTTTACTTGTTTTTTGTTTGTCTTCCAGCTTGTCCATCACTGCGGATGGGTGGAAGCACAACTCCAGGTTTGAGCATGGTTTTTAACTTGACTGCTATAATAATATCCTGAATATAACATAGAACAAGCTGAAAGAAAAAGACCTAAACACAGTTCCATACTTTATGCAGTTTTCCACAGATTTTTCGAGGCGCATGTAGATATTTTGCGTCATACTTGGAATTTTGCGTCCTCACATTAGAGCCTTTAATCAGACCAAATCCATATTTTTCTCTTATTTATGCAGCTTGTTGTCATGTAGTGTTGCTGCAACAAAGATATCAAAGCAAAACAAAACAGGAAAAAAATATATATATATGTATTGTTAAAACAATGTTGTTGGCAGGCTGCAGACTGATGAAGTCCTCTGGATGTGGGGACGAAACATTTCTCACTTAAAGAAACTGGTCCAGATGATTTGATTTAACCATTTCTGTCATTAGTAAAACAGTTTGAACCCTGATCTAATGCCATGAAACTCGCTGCCCTTCCACTTGGTCTCTTGGACACATAAAAACATCTACCTTCCTTCTCACTATCATGCCAGCCATTTGCCTGTCATTATCCCCACATTTAGAGTTGCAGCTCAGTCCTAGATTCTTGATTGTTCTCTTCTCCCTCTGTCTCCTGACATCGCTCCCTCCTCGTGGTCTTCCACTAACGGTAGCAGAATTTTTGCCGGCCCCCTGTTTGTCAACAGCACCGGTGGCGGTCGTTGTTAACCTCGACTGATCCGGTACGGTTTCGCTTTGATGAACTCACATTATAGTTTTGGCTAAAGTGGTTTACATCGGATGCCCTTCCTGACACAACCCTCACCATTTACCCGAGCTTGGGACCGACACAAGATGACTTGTGCTCCCAGGTGGCTGGTTTCAGCCAGAACTAAAATAATGAGACAGACTTTCAGCTCAAGTCTAAACATCAGTATTAGATTAAGAGCTGGTTTCTGGCATTTAAATATCACTAAAGCACTAACTGGTTGTTCGGCTGGATTTATTTAGCGTTAACGAGGTGTTCCCTCCTACCGTCTGTCTTCAGGTTTCCAAATGATGGAGCTGTTTGGGCTCGTTGAGGACCAGTACAACAGCGTCTCCGGTGTTTCCATGGTGCCTGGCACTTTTAATACGTTCCCCTGCTTCCACCTGCACAGCAATGCTCTGCTGGCTCAGCCGACCAGGTAAAACCATTGATTTTCTTTAAAAAAAACTATACATGCACTGTTGCTATTGCAGAGGGAGTGGCAGGAAGAGATGCTTGCCGAAGTGAAGCAAACGAGCAGCTGCTGGGAAATAAAAACAACGGCTTTGATAAGTCAAGGTTTTACCGTGTTCATTCAATTTGCTGTTTCTGTTGTGGCTGACAGGTTCCTTCATCCTGAGGGGCTTCCCTCGGATTACACCATCACGCTGCTGTTCAGGCTGCTGCCTGACACTCCAGAGGAGCCCTTTGCACTCTGGGAGATTCTCAACAAGGACAACGACCCGCTGACCGGAGTCATCCTGGACAGTGAGTGGAGAGCGGAGCGATGAAACTTCGTTTTTATCATTACAACGTAATGCATTAAAATAAGAAGCAGTGAATGACAGGTGTTTTCAGGTTTGCTACAATAACTTATCCATAATAATAATAATAATAATATATTCATCATCCACGTTCGCCATCATAACATGAAACACAAATGAATGTATTTTATTATTATGATTGTAAACAGTTTTGTGTTGCATTTTTTCACGTGCAGTTTGTTTTTCTTCCTGCAGATGGAGGAAAAACTCTGACGTTCTTCAACAATGATTATAAAGGAGTCTTCCAGACCGTCACCTTTGAAGGGCCAGAAATCAAAAAGCTCTTCTTCGGCAGCTTCCATAAGGTCAGAATGACTCCACACCTTTTGTGGTTCTACTGATTTATTATCTTTTATTAAATTACAGGTGTTCTGTCAGACTGAACTGATTTAATCCTGAATGTAGAAAAGTTGAGCAGAATTATGAAAGACATGCGTAATGTAGAATTAACCCTCACATTAAAAGCTGCTGACTCGTGAACGAGAGCATTGCTGGTTGAAGGACACAAATGTTTCTAATAAGGCCATTAAAAAAAAACTTTGATCTTTATATTATTATTATTATTATCACTTACAGCTATTTCTTTTGACCTCCTGTTTTAGAAGGTTCAGCTAAATATGCAATTGACAATCATAATTATATGTATTTAGCATTCTGAGTCTTTTGAAGACCACTTAGTTGATGTTTTAGGACCCCCAGCAGAGCTGTGACCCCAGCTTTGAAACTGCTGCTTCACAGTTTTCACTCGGAGCAGCGTTTATACGCGCTAGCTTCGGGTTTTGTTCCTTGTGGATTGAAAAGTTGTTGCTGGTGTCGCACAGCTGTGATTAAGTGTCACAAAGTTCACCCACTAAAGCCTTTTTAAAGCATTAGTGCTGACATTAAACAGGCAAGTTTAAGAGCATCACTAAAGTTATTACATATATAAATACAGTAATAATAAATAAATAACAAACTATTTTATACCAATAACAACAACAAATAAATAAACAATAAAGAAATAATACATAAATAAATTATAAATGATTTAATAATAATAAAAATAACAAAAATAACTAACTAACTAAATAAATATAATAATAATAAATTATTCATGATAAATACATAATTAACAATAAATAATAAACAAATATCCAATAATAATTAATATTTAAGTAATGATAATCATAAATAAATACATAATAAATAAGACATAATTTAATAACAACAACAAATTAATAAATAATAAAGGAATACTACATAAATAAATTATACATTAAATAATAACAACAACAAAAATAACTAACTAAAATAATTAAATAATTATTTATACATAATTAATAATAAATAATGATTAATTATATAATAATAAATAAATAAATAAATACCTAAAATAAATAAATAAATAATAAATAATTTAATAATAACAAGAACAAACAAATAAATGAACAATAAGCAATAAATCTTTATTTAATAATAATAAAAATAATAACAACAAAAATAAATAAACAAATTAAATAATTAATAATTAACAAATAATAAATTACAAATAATAAATAAAAATTAATTATAATAAATAAATGATACATAATGAATATTGATAAACAAATAATAAATAAATCATAAATACATAATAAATCAATCACTAAATATTACATATACTGTATAAATAAAGGTAGAAAAATATACAAAAAAATAATAATAAAAAAAGGCACAGCTGCTGCTGTTTATTCAACGTTGTATTTTTAGATGCTAAGATCAATATAAAGTAGTTACAGACAGAGTCACTCATCGTTTGTTTGTTTTATTGATGGGCGGAGTCTCCAACACATTCAGTAAACAAACTGACGGAGGACTCGTCGATGCTTTAATTGATCCACTCGGCTCATTGATTCGCTCTCTTCGTCTCGGTCTCCCTTCAGCTTTGCACTTGTTCTATTTTTATCCAGCGTTCTGTTGAGCGCTCCCGCAGAGGTTGGGGCGTCCCGAGCCTGAACCTGCTCGCCATCACGTTCTGTTATCGTCACGCACAAGCGCCGAGGGACTCGCTCGTCATTTATGTCTGCTGAGTTCATCCTGCTTACCTTTTCACCTTTTGTTCTGCTCCGTCTCAGTCTGAATACGTTGGATTCGGTTTCGTATTCCTCGAGGACCGGCAGCAGCTGATAAGTCAAAAAGCTCTGCTCAGGTCTCTTCGAGGTGGGATTATGGGACATAAGTCATGAGATAATCGGCTCCATCTCCTGCTTTTCTTATCTTAACATACCTTGAAGGTTTCCTCTAAGTTACAGTTCTTCTCAAATTTAATATATTTTTTTACACAGTTCCAGAAAAGGTGACCTTTACACATCTTTAAGGATCTGGATGTGTTCTTCAGCAAGCTGTTTTCTCTGATAAGGAGGCCTTTTCCTCCAAGCTTCACGCATTCAACGGGATTTCAAGCAAGTTTTGGAAATTCTGCGCTGCCAGCGTGTGTAGAGGAAAGTCTGGTTTTACCAACATCTACACACACGTGAGCTACAGCAGATGGAGCAGCAGGAGGGGTGTTCAGCGTCTTTTAGCTGGAGTTTTGGTGTTCTTTGAATTTTAGGACCACGTTGCACCGAGCTGTTACACATTCGGAAAGTTGCATTCAGACTTGACCGTTCTCTCTTGCAAAACAACATTGAGTTAAAAAAAAAAAAAAAAGCAATAAATCATAAATGTGAAATGAAGCACGCCACACCTCTGCAGAAACGAGCTGCACGATTGGATTTCTTGCAGAAACTACAATTTTTATTCCTCACACACCTGCGCTGTCATTGGAGGCTGTTTAATCTCCACCTGCTGACAGTCTGCGGCTCTTCAGCTCGCAGCAAGCAGCACATTAGAGCCGTGGCTTTTCTAATACTCTTCAATATTGTTGCTTTAATTAGTCTGTTTGTTTAAAAGCTGTTTATTTATGCTAATAAGGTTTTTGTGCCTTTTCTTGCTCAGCTTCAGCCTTTCCCTCCTGGTGAAAAGAGAAGCTGTTGCCTAGCAACATCTTATTTTGGAGACGGTACAGGGACCGCTGTGTGAGAGTCAGGGGATAATAATTACCATCTTCCATCCAATCAGAACCACCCATCACTGCTTTAGAATAAGCATTTGTTTATTGTCTTTTTTTCCACTTTGTCAAAACCTGGGATGTTACAAAAGTGTCACAGTGGAAGTGTTTCTGGATCAAGCTTGTTAGTCTATTAGCAACTTTATTTATTTATTTTTCTCAGCCACACTATTCTCTCTTTTTTTTTTTTTTATCTGCCACATTTGAAGCCACATCAACATATTTGAAGCAAGTTATGGAGGGGAAAATAAATCAAGTACAGCTTTATATGAACAACACCATATAAATTACACTGCAGTGACTGAAATGTGGCATTTTACGAAAATATGGCGTCATTCTGCTAACAAAAAATAAATTTAAAGCCCTCATTTTGATAAAAAAAATTGATAAAGGTTGAAGTAATTAAGTGACCCGGCCATTATTACGAAACATTCACTGAGACTTTAAAACTTAACAGCCCTCGTGTTAAATTTAACTTGAGTAATTTATCAAGATTCACAGACACTTTATTTTTATTTTTTGGTCGTAACAATAAACTACCAACTAATTTACCATTAAATAAAGTTTGGGAGGTGGTGATGTGTGTTTGACACCAGTAAAGCAGAAATATACAAAGCAGTTTTTATTTTTCTAAAAAGTATTCCTACTTGTAAAGAAGAGGGTGGTGCAGAGGAGCCACTCAGTTCAGAGTCTAGTAGTTCCCAATGTGTGGGGTGCAAAGCCATTGCGGCGGGTGGTGGTGTATGACTTAATGAAAAATAAATAAAATAATGCTTGGACACTGCTAGTATAACACACACAAATGTGTGGTCACATTGTTTTATTTTATTAGTGATTTAATGGTCGTGCAAAGTGCAGAAAGTTAATTTAATTGAGTTGCAGTACCGAGTTTTACCACAAGGTAGCAGCACTTCCACTGAGGCGGTGTTGGTGCGTTCCTTACTCTGCCCTGTCAGTCCGCGCTAACACACGAGCAAGAGCAAACGGTGATGAGTCTCCGTCTCACTTTTGTCTAATTTCAGGTTGGTAAAGTCCACCAAGCATAAGCATATTATCCTCCATGTATTAATAATTGTATAGTGTTTGTAATTGCATCAACCAGTTTTATATAAACCATGTTTTGAGAGTGAAATAACAGTTTTACTGTATTAGCGTTTCTGTGCTAGCATGCTAATCGCCCGCTAGCATAGCGGCTAATGTATATTTTCTATGTTCTTGGCTCTCTCTGTTATATGTTTATGCTTATGTATACACCCATCTGAAGTCTAATAGATTTGTTTGTATAGTTATGTTGGTTTGTGTTTAATGATTCCGCACTATATATATATTTATCCTAGTATCTTATGACTGAGTGCTAATGGCATATATGTTAGCTCAATGCTAAATGTAAGAGGATGATTTGATGGTTAAAATTATTGAGGAAATAGATTAAATGCATATTAGAATGCAGTTATAATAGTGGATGCACATATATTTATTTTATAAATCAAAGGGGGGTGGGGGGCAGCTGAAATAAAAAGGTTGGGAACTATAGGCTCAGACTAATACCTTCATCTGTAACACTCAACATGTTGGAATCATTTCAGTTTCATTACCTCCTTTATTCAGATCCAGCAGAATCATAAATGTGCTCAGTTTTCAGAATGTTATTGGGACGCCAGTTTTAGAATATTTCATTTGGCAAGAACTAAGACTTTAATTTCACGCTGAAAGGTTTATCTCTTATATGCATAAAATAGGATGACAAAATGAGCTGTGGTGGATTATCTGTGCCTTTTCTCTGGGCTTCATTTGGTTTGAATTCAGATTTTAAAGGAAATCTGTTGAGAGAGTTTGCAGCTTCCTACCGGCAGAGGGAGCTGTTCTCCTGCAGCATCAAGACCTAAAACCTTAGAAACGTCAACCACCTTTTAGCTGTTTGGACTTTATACATTTATACTTGAAACACAAACTGATTAACAGTTAGTCAACGTGATTGATGATTACGATGAAAACGTGACGCACAAAACAGGTTAAAAAATGCATATTTAATGACGATATGAAGTGATTTTGGTTTGTTTTTGTTTTTTGTTTTTTTTGCAGCTTCACGTTGCAATCAGCAAAACAAATGCCAAAGTGTTCATCGACTGCAAAATGGTGGCGGAGAAAAATATCAACGCAGCAGGAAACATCTCCACCAATGGAATGGAAGTTCTGGGCCGGATGGTTCGCTCCAGAGCAAACAAGGACAACTCGGCTCCGGTGAATAAAGAACACACACACAGCAATTCATATTAGAATACAATCAGGCACTATAAGATCCTTTCAGGAAACAGGATTTGGATTCTGTTGTTCTGGCTCTGCTCCAATAAGTTTCAGTAAAGTTCTTTTAAAGTGATTTAAGAGAAATAAGAAGATAAATCACGTATAGCGTTTACATTTTTCCCAAGTTTCAAGAGTCTTCAAGCAGCACATGAGCGCAGAGTTCCTGATTTGGCTCCCGACAGGCCGGCGGTCTTCCCGGACTCCGTCAGCAGTCCGTCTGATTGGCTTCATCACACTGATGATGCCAAAGATGGCTCTCTGTGCTTCATGGATCACAGAATCTGATGATCTACCACCGCTGTGGTTCCATTGATGACATTGTTGCAGTCTTTTATGATCGGTTTAATCACCGTTTGAAGAAAAATCTTCGATGGTGACTTCTTTTAAAACTTAGACTTTTTAAAAATATTATTTTCCATCAGTCACGTTTCTGTGAGGAGCTGAGAATGAGCAGCCAAAAAATAAGGGTTAAATTATCAAACTAACAAACGAGAATTTAGACACCTTTATGTAAGAGATCCACAATTCAGCTGCCTCTGATTTCATCTTTATTTTTAAATTCTGATTGTTCTTACAAAAACGTTATGAAGACGACCTCACAAACGAGCCACAAACACTCAGAAAGAAAAGTTTAGCAACAAGAAAAAATGCATCAGATTTTATTTTAAGGCTCGAACAAATAAACAACAACTTTTAACTAAACCTCAGATTTAACTAAAAGAAGAAACATTAAAGAACTGTAACCATTTTTTAAACTAGTTTTTTTTTTTTTTTTGCTTTGTCTGTTGTTTAGAGCTTTTTAGATGTAAACCAGTATTACAATAATTTGTATAATGTGATCTTTTATATCTAATTTGCAATAATCCTTTATGAAAGGTAGAATTAAAAACAACGTACTTTAAAGTAAAATATTAAATTAGTAACGCAAACTTTTTTTGCACTTTTATATATTTTTTCCATTTCTTTCCCAATAAATTTGAAGCGAGACTTGTGTAAAAAAAGTTATATACACATCTGATCAACACTTCTGACGTTAACTGATCTTTATTCTGTATCACACCTCACGCGTGTAAATACAGATATTTATACCACGTTGCATTAAATCCTGTAAAACGTTGTTTCTGTCCTCATCCTGCAGTTCCAGCTTCAGAACTTCGACATTATCTGCAGCACATCTTGGGCCACCAGAGACAAGTGCTGTGAACTTCCTGGTCTGGTGAGGTCAAAGTTCATCCCTTCTATCTACTCATCTGAACACGGAACACGTTTTCACATATATGAATATTTTAAATCATAAAGATCTGACCTGAGTGATTTAAAGCATATGATTCTTTTTCAAAATATGCCTAAAGTTTCTCTTAAAATGTTACATTTGACATGTTTATCCCTCCAACTACAGACGTTATAAACTTTAGCTACGATACAAATTATAATGTAGAAAATGTTTCAGCAGTAAATTGATATTGAAAAGGCGTTGAGTCTCAGTTTATGGTCCTTAAAGTGTCTTAAATTCACATTTGATCTCATCTCGTCACGTTTTTGTTTGATTGCAACACATTTTTTTGTTGTTTCTTCATTACATTTTGCCTCCTTTGTTCTTTGTCATCTGCATCACGCCGCCATCGTTCAGAGGAAGGAGGTCGACTGCCCGGCCTTGCCCAAAGCCTGCACCTGCACACAGGAGAGCAAAGGGCCCCCCGGCCCCCCTGGAGTACCAGTGAGCTCCACACAAACGCACCAAACATTTCAATATGAATTTGTAGAATTACCTCTGAGGTGAACGCTCGTCCTTTGAGTTTTTTTATTTTATTTGACCCATATTTTTTTATTCTGTCAGCTCATTTATGATCATCTGTCATTTGGTTCAACATCCTTTAGTGTTAGAACTTGTTGACGTTATGTATCAAATCCTGTTTTTTTGTTTTTAACAGGGAGGCCCTGGAATCAGAGGAACCCGAGGTGACCGTGGAGAGCCAGGCCCGGTGGTGAGTCCAGCTTGTTTTTTTTCTTGTTGGTGATTTTTTTATGAGTCCACTGCCGTGTGGATAATGCTCTGCATCAAATCTGAAAGCTGATGTCATTTTTAAACATTTTCCACTCTGAGCTTGTGAGCTCACCTGTAGGTGCTGCTGTGTTGCATCATTGTTTGTCAGCTGACGGTTGGTTTGGTGAGATCATCGTGTTTCTTTTTGTTTGTCCTGGTGAAATGTGCTCAGAACAGCTGATCACATGTTCACAGCTTCATGATTGTTTATGTGATACTGTTGTTTAAATGATTTCTACAGATGGCAGCTCAGTTGCAAACATATGTTAAAGTTTAATTTACGCACATACATTATAATATTAATGTTTTCATAGATTCATTCTTTTGGGCATAATTTCCCTATTTCAGTTTTTGTGTGAGAAGAAATAGATGTGTAATAAAAAAAAGCATGATGACAACAATAAACATTATCAGACAAAATGCTGTTTAATCTATTAAAATATTAAACTAAAACATAATAATGTACATTCAATTTAACAGTTCAACAGAGTTAACAAAACACAAAAAGCAACAGATACACAAAGACACAATTCACACAAAACAAAATTCAACACAAGACAAATAGCACGAGTTCATGATTTAGCTTTATGGGAATTTTTTATCTATTGTTAAAAAAAACATTATCCATATATTTATTTAATAAATCTATGGCATGTTTTCAGATAAACAAAACCAAATTGCAACAACAACAAAAAAAATCTATATTACTTAAATTATGTTTAGCAACAATAACTCTGAATTAGGTGAAAATATTTCTGAATGAACAAAAATACACAAAAAATACCAAGAACAAACAAAATAAAGTAGCAATGAATTACAAGAGAAACTTTTTGATTTGTTTGCATCCATTTTTTTAATTTGTATTTTTATTCTTCACAGCACTAAACGCACAGTGCTCATTCAAAACCAACCAGTGTCCCATCATCTAACCGAGCTGGTTTTAACTCCCACAACCATCACTGTGTTTCTACACGGCTGTTCCACAGTCTGCTCTTTTACTAGAACATTATAAAAAATAACAAAATAAAATAAACTGTTATGATCCTTGTAGGACACGCTTTTCCTCCTCAACCATAACTTAATGTGTGCATTTTCACATTCAGATTTTTTGCATAAATGATTCAGTAAAACATCAAATCTATCTCCGTGTGTCTGTTGGATAAAATAAATATCCTTTCATTATCTGTTTACTCAAATAAGCCACTCTGAGGACACAAATATTTTTTAACTTGTCTTTCACAGTTAGTTTTATAAACGCTCCGTACTTTGAGCCTCGTCAGGGAAAATTCACGCCGGACAGAGGCAGGAAAAGCTTTAATACACGTCATCAGACAGAGGCGGGGTCAAGATGACCTCATCTTTCAGCTTACAGACGAGGAGGCCTTGAAGTTTATCAGAGATGCAGCTCTGTGCTCTTCAGAGAGGAGCCTGCAGGTTCTCCTTGAGCAGACAAATCAACTCACACACATTAATTTAACATTGGTTACTAATAAACTTCCATAACTTGTACTTGTGACATGTGCAATGACAATAAAGTTGAATTCTATTATTTTCTAAATTCCCCTGACACTATCTATTTACCTCTCCGTCTGCCTCTTTCTTGACCCCTTTCAAGAAATGACTCAAGGTCCCAGTCTTCCACACAGCGAAAAAGACCATCAGACTTTTTAGGTGTCTTTCGTTCTTCTTCTTCGTCGTCTTCTGCTCTACGTGCTCTCCCTGGAATCCCTCCTTCAGAAGATCCGTTAGTGCCCATGGTTTTGTTTTAACTAGTTTTAACAGTAATATAGTTTTATCCACATACGCTGATTTCATTGTTGTTTTTATAAAAATCAAAAAAGACGTTGACACACTGAACAAGGTCACTGACTCATATATATGTTCCAAATATTCCTTTACACCTCCAACCAGGGAAGTTTATCATATTATTCTGTTGTAGGATGTCAGGGTTGTTCCAGATGGGTGCACGTCTGCATGGAATTAGTGAAGACTGTCATTTTAAGAAACTCCCACCAAGCTGTCGGAGAGGAGCTCATATTGATGCTTTTAAAGCATCCCTGTCGTTTTGGAAGGTCCAAAATCATTATACTATTGCAAAGTGTCTGTTCTGTGTCTAGCCAGGGTTCATCAAGGGGTGTGTGTGTTTTATCCATCTTGAGATGTATTCTAGCCTCTTGGCTAGAAAGTAATAATATAAACTGGGTAGCTCTAGTCCTTTATCTTTGGTATTCTGTAGTGTTTTTAGTCTTAATATGTGGGGGTTTGTCTTTCCAGAAAAATTTAGAGATGGAGGAGTCCAGGGATCTCAAAACAGTCAGATGATGGTTTATTTGGGATCATTGAGAATAAATAATTTATTCTAGGCAAAATCATCATCTTCAATATATATATATATATATATATATATATATATATTTTTTTTTTTTTAAGAGCTTTAGGCCTGTCTGATACTGACATACAGAAAATTACAGTAGTCCATCAATATAATAATAACATGAAAAACTTTTTCAAAGTCAATAAATGTTTTAAATGATTTGACCTTGAGTGGAAGCCTAAGTTAAAACATAAACCTACTAAACAGACATGAAATCGTTATAAATACTTACCCTCTTCCTGTGGCTGTGAAAACATGCGATTACCCACGGTATCGTCTGCAGGCTCGTAGATACACACCGTCTGCTGCCACTCAGTCTTTCTGGTAAATGTCACCTTCTGAAACACATCTGGTTTGTAGTAAATATCTGAGGACATCCTGACAGAGATTAGACAGAAGCTTGACTTATTGTTTCTGAACTGTTGAAGCTCTACTCCACAGATGAACAGTGCAGCACTCACTTCTGTTGGATACTAACTGTATCTGCTGATGTTCAGTTCTTGTTTTACTCTTTTTTTTGACCAGCCCCAACAGTTTAGTTTCAGTGGTGTTTTGAGGAAATAGCATCATTTAAATAACCACATCCTTAAAGTGAACTTATTTCTGTACAAAAAAAAAATACAAAACATACTTGTTTTGTTTTTTTGTTTATGAGTGTGTGTAGTCCCTCATTCATTGTGGGGGTTGCGTTCAAGGTTCCAGACCCCCCCATCCCCCCAGCAATAAGTGAAGTAGCAACGTTATATTTACCTTACTATTTATAAATATTTTAAGGCTTTATAAACCCTCCCCACACTCTTGCAATGTTCTAAACTTTTAAACCTACGTCATTTTAACAACATACGTACAGTATTGTACGTGTAGCTACTAAATTTTACTCACCAGCTCTGCAGAACAGCAGCGGCTCAGTTCCACTCTGACCCTGTTCCATTTCTGCCGACCTACCCTGCAGCACCGAAGCCCACATTCAATGTTCTAAACTCTTAAACCTACTAATTTTAACAACATACTTACATGTAGCTACTAAATTTTACTTACTAGCACGTCCCAGCTCAGAGGTCCTCATGGGCCAGTTGAAGAGATAAGGAAAGTCCCGGTGGACTCCGGAGCGAGTGTCGGACCTTCGACAGCGCGCCTCCCACTCAGAAGTCCTTGTGGGCCGGTTATCAACATTCAATCATCATTTTGAGGGAGGGGGCTTCGTGTGACCAGCATGGAACCGGTGGTTTGATTGATGAGCAAGGTCCCAGTGGGCTCCGGATGGAGTGCCAGACCTTTGGATGCGTGTGTCTCGCTCAGAAGTCCTCATTGGCAAGCTATCAGCTCTGAAGAGTCACTGATGGGTCTGGAGGTCCGGTTCTGCTCCGGTTCGGTGGGTTCTCTGAGGCTCTCTGCATCCGCTGGGCACCCAAGTCACTGTGATAAGTTCCAAACTTTTTCCGATCAGATCAAAAATTTCCCTCTAGTATTCCATCAGAAGGAGCTGGGACTTCTGGTCGGGGCACTGTTGGATTTTGGGAAATGTAGTAATTATGAACAGGGATCTAGTGGAGACTTATTGAGAGAAAACCTAAAAAATGGCGGCGCCTGTCCGAAGTACAGGTATTTCATTTTTATGTTAACTTTTTACTGTACAGTATCCAGTACTTTCCCAATCACGTGAGTAATATTAAAGTTGACAATGATGTGTCCTGTTCAGACATCTTTTCATACTTTGTAAAACCACTTTAGAGCCAGTCCGTGTAAGTCAAACCACAATGTAACGAGGGACTGCTGTACATTATAACTAACCTTTTATTAAAGTTTGTTTGGGTGTCATCATCTGCAATTTGCATGTCCCAACAGCCCCCACAACCAACACACAGACACACTAACACTGCAGATGTTTTGGGGTTTTTTTTAAACAGGAAACACTATTTTGCCAATTCTTTTTATTAATTTCTTTTTTAATTTAATTTTCTTATCTCTCAAATTAAAATCTTTTGAACTAATTTCTTGTATTCATGAAAGTTTGGTGTCTGGTGATCGTGTCTCTACGCATGGGGCTCAACCCGAACAAGCATCATGTGTTTACCTGCCAGTGGGTCCACCACCTGCAGGAGGGACATACAAGTCAGATTCATGATTCCATGTGCAGTGGCAGAAGTCGGTCTAGACCTTGTTTCACTCTGGACTTGCCCATAGTGAGAGGCGCCGAGCTGGTGTGGGTCTACTCATAGCCCCCTGATGTGGTGCCTGTGTGTTGGAGTTTCCCCAGTAGATGAGAGGGTAGCTTCCTCTATCACAATCACAGGTCCAAAATTATTAAAAATAAATTATTTTAAATGAGTTAGCACCTGCTGCAGCAGGTTGGGGGCTTACTGTTCATTAGGAGCATGAGCATGACGAAGGACTGGCCGTTCGCGAACTAAAGACTCGGTTCCTGTCGTGCTTGATTATTTAAAATTCAGCTGCTCATGCAACATGGATTGTTTATTTAAACTATTACAGTACAGTATTTAAATTTAAATTGTTTATTTACACAGAAGGAAGGAGATGGGAGCGATGAGCATGAGTGTGATTGCAAC